ACTCTAAATTATATTCTCATATTCTCTGAGCAATTTCGCTGATACTTTTAGATTTCTTCAATACTCAATTTCAGTTTCTTATCGCTCAATTTCCCAGTAACAGAAAACGAAGTTTAAGCGGATGATTTTCCCAAATTTATTTAAGAGAATATCACGAAATTTAAGTTTAATCGGATGTCACGACCAAGCGGTCTCGATTTCAAAACGCATTTTTGCAGCAAAAACATTCAGTTATTTGTTCAGTGACCTAAGATCTTGTCATCGTTAAGATGTAAATGCAAACTTCAGGTCAGAATATCGGATCGAGCAGAGAGGTGCCCCAGGTGCTAGCGCGGGTGGTGAGATTGTAGTTGTACAGCTGGTTGAAGTGATCAAGAAACCCGGTCAAAGTCTTGGTCTTTATCTCAGGGAAGGGAATGGTGCGGACAGGTAAATGAATAGCCACAATTGCGTTATTCTATGAATCATTGATAACGTTCTTGCAAGCATTTCGATTTGTTCTGCTCACAAACTTGAACTGAAGAATTCACTGAGGCGACTTAAAATCCCAAATAAAGGAGTCAAAATACCATAAGATTTAACCGAGTCGAAAACTGAATCGATATTGAGGAGCTGGGAAGTAACTTTTTGGCTCTGCTCCTGGATTGAGAGGGTTCTCGATGAAGTTGAAGGGGGTTCTCAAAATGCCTCCAATTCAAACGACTTTCAGTCTGAAAATTCAGTTGTCGCGAAATCTATTCACTAAAATTTCTCATTTGTGTCTTATTTTGAGATTCGATCTTATCTGGGTATTGAGTACTTTCGATACCTGGGTTTTCTTTCAAATACGTATAGCGTGCTCTTTTCGGAGCATTTTGTAAGCACCAGGTTTCGCAAGTAGTCGCAAAATCTCCATAGAAACAAACCTTATGAAACACGTATTTATTGAATATTGCCAGTTTTGATTTTCATTTTATTGCCATTTTTATGTTTCATTTTAGCATTGTTCATTCATGTCACAAATATAGCATAATAGCAGGGATTAGACTACGCGTTATAAAACAGCACAGCAATAATGGCGTGTTCAGAGAAGCAAATTCTAATTCTGCACAGAATTTTCAAGGCAGCAAATGCATTGAGGGATGATCCTAGTGTTGCAAGAACTATGAATAATAAATCGTCTGTATGCTTGTTGAGCACCGAAATTTGGAATCAGATAAACGCGTATCCAGGATGGCATAGTGGCAGGGATTAGAATACGAGTTGTTTGGTAGAAAGTTAGAAAATGACTGAATAGATTGTCAGCACTCAAATCTTGAAGCATAAGAGCTTGTGAAGTTTGACTATACACATAAGGTTCAGTGTGCACCTTCTCGCGCATTGTTGCTTCAGCATTCACTGCAAAGTTACTGAATCCATCTTTTATCCACCTTGCATCTTTTTCGGAAAATCCGAAGGTAGCGGTTGGCCTTTTTCGGAAAATAATGACGATTAAGGTATTATACCAGCAAAGACCTTGCTATCTAAATTTTAGCAGAAGAGGTCACAAGCACCTCTAACTTAGCCTCAGTTTGAACTTAAGGTGAGCGCCAGCGCCCCACATTACGGAAATCTGGGTGAGCTTTAGACTTGAGGTCTCCACCAAGATTTTAGTTTCATCGATTTGGTTCATTTCAAATCACTTTAGCCACTCATATCAGAAGCGAAACACAGCGATAGCATTTATCATGCGAGTGAAAATTGCAACTTCAACGAAAATTCAATTTCAGCAAATTGTGAAGTATCTCTGAGCTAATTGATAGAATTCATACAAATTGATAATCGATTAATAATAATAATAGATGAAGATGTTTAGGCCAACGGGTGTGTTTGCATCTCGTTATGGTGAGAATTCCGAACTGGAAAGGTATGGGGATATAATTCGACCTGGAGATGAGATATTGTCGGTGAATAACGTTGATGTGTCAACGATGAGCATCGACGATGTTGTTTTAGTGCTTTCAATACCGCGACGCCTTTTGCTGAGGATACGATACGTCAAAAACCGACGGTAACTCAATAAACTTTCACATTTATCCAACGTTTTCGTTCTATGAAATCAGAGCAGGCAACGAAAGTATCTGCAAAACCCATTTTTAGTGTTTTCCTAACGATTTAATGTCAGATACAAGCCATCACATAAGTTGGCTCAGACTCGCAACATCAGTGTGATATTGATGTATCACTCGGTTTCGAGCAAAACTCTCCTACGCGAACGAGAGTCGAACCCGCGACTCGAGCCCCAACCGGTAATTGGTTTGTCGCGTGTTCGAGTCGCATTCGCGGAGGAAAATTTTGTGCTCGAAACCGAGTGGTGTACCAATATGCTGTAATTTGTTTTGTATGACAAACAATTTACATTGTAACTTTAGTTTTTTCTATAATGTACTAGTTTTACATCAATGCGCAATAGGTTGTTTTCACACGAGCTTTCGGTTGATCCTGTATTGCATGATTCCGCCGCATCTTTTCAAATTGTTGAATAATTTCCCACTGAGACCGAATAACAGCTTTTGGGTTCACAGCAGATGAAGGTATCGTGCTATCATTGAAAAAAGTGCTGAATTAAATCAAGAAGCGCTGAAAACTTCATTCACACCATCTTCCCTCTGAATAGTAAGAAAGTGAAAGTTTGAAGCGAATGAGTTTGAAGAAATCGAATAAGTCAGTATGCGTTCGTTCATTCGAGTATATCTGTGGATGTATGTATGTATTCATGCGTGGATGAATGCTTGATACCCACACATTCATATTGCATGAATGCAATGAACAAATAGCGTTTTAAAATATTTCCATTTTTTGTTGAATTGTGCATGTCGTTGCTGTTTCTAAATGAACGATTCTTCATTGCTATAGCAGCTACTCGCGTTCTATCTATCCACTTATAATATATGTTAATGCAATATGACAATCTTGTATGTGCCTTTGCCTTCTTCCTCATCCGTTCTCTAAAAATTTTCTCATCCAAGCTTAAGCTTCAAGATTTATAAGCCTAGACTTGGACTTATCGCTGAGATATCCGCCATCCGCTATTGTTACTAACATTGAAAATTCTCAACTGTTGTTTCATTCATCTAAAAACTCTGGCAGATGGATGGTTGTTTGATTTGGCCTGGCAGAGAGATATCTCACTGGTTTACTCGTCTGCTTGACAGCCTGAATAAGTTGTCTATTATTTGGCCAGTTCGGTAGTACTCATAAGTTACCGTAAAATTTTTTCAATATCTTACGGAATTGTATTGTTCTGAGAGGTTCTTCGAAGGAGTTTTTGCTAGTGACAGGTTTTTAGGCGAATACAGAATGGAGTGATTTCTTCTTCAAGGATTTCCTTGAT